AACCTTCTTCTGGATTATTAGAGAACAGTGCAGTTCTATCTGCTAAAATTTTTTTCATTTCAGCAAGTTGGAATATAATTTTTTTCTAAAACTCTGAATAGTAAAATATATAAGTGAAGCCATATAAATAGTATATAAAATAGTAAATAGTACCTATATATGGTTGAAAAGAGGTAGATTTAAACTAAATAATGCAAAAAATCTCAAGTTTCATGCTTAACCTTAAAAAAATATAGAAACAAGTAAAGTTCAAGAAAATTATAGGGTTTTTGTTTAACGCCAAAAACTGTAAATAATTGCTACCTATACACAAACGCACACACACACACACAAATGTGTTCTATCTAATGCAAAAACACTAGGTTTAAATTTTTTTTTAATAAATATTTTAAGGGGTCCCTCAAGACCCTCGAATATTTAATGGGTCCCTAATATTTTTGAAAAAAAAGTTTTTCAAAAATATGTCAACCTGGTACTCAAATGAAGCGAAATTATATAAAAATTTTAAAAATAATATTTATTTCGAACAAAATTGTTAATTTTGGTTTTATTACATAAAAAATTGCGTTTTTTAAGAAAAAATAAAAAAAAATGCATTTCTAATGTTTTTTTATGATAATTTTGATAAGTTAAAAATATTTCGAAATGAGTATTATTTATGAAATATTTATATAATTTCGCTTCATTTGAGTACCAGGTTAACATATTTTTGAAAACCTTTTTTCGAAAATATTGGGGACCCATTAAATATTTGAGGGTCTTGAGGGACCCCTTAAAAGATTTTTTATTCAAAAAAAATTTAAACCTAGTGTTTTTGTATTAGATAGAACACATTTAGGGGGTGAGAGCAGATTATTTTCAAAAATGTTGTTTTTTGGGACACCCTAATATATATATATATATATATATATATATATATATATATATATATATATATATATATATATATATATATATATATTGGAGAATACACAACATAATTTATACATACATACATATATATATTATATATATATATATATATATATATATATATATATATATATATATATATATATATATATATATATATATATATATATATATATATATATTATATACACATTAAATAATAATTTAAATGCAGAAATACATCTTTGTAAAGGAACTTAAAGTTTTATGCCTTTTTTGGCAATAATCAGTCATATAATTAAAAAATATAAAAGCATTATAAAAAATACAAATTTAGCGTTGCAACAGCATCTAACATCAAATATCCGATACTCAGCAGAATCAAAGCAATAGTAAAATAATTTTTTTTTCCCTTTTAGAGATGTATTTCGAATAGTATACAACATTTATCAATATACACACATACACAAAGTTATGACAGTTTAAGTACCGATTTTTCGATATTAGGATTTGTTGAAGAAACTGTGGTCAAAATATTGTTTTTCTCTACTTAAATTGTCATAACTTTGTCAATTCTTATCGAAAAACAAATATCTTAGTGTCAAAAGATAGGTGTAAGAGTGGGCTACAACTTTATGTTAAACTCTAACCACTGGGCGTTTCAGACGGATAGAGGGGGCACCAAACCACCACCATCCCCGTACAAAACTTAACACTTTTTTTAGAAAAAAAGTTTTTTTTAAAGATATAAGCAATATAAATATTAAAACAAATTGTTTTAAATTTATACTTAACCATTAAAATATATGAGAGGTGTATGTTAGCAATAGAGGTGGGTATGGTGGTGGTGGTTTGATACACCCTAGTATGAAAAACGACTTGATTTTATATTTATATCTTTACTGAAATGTGTAAAATTAGTATACAATATAAAATTATGTTATACATGATCTTATGTCTACAAGTGGTGTTTCTATTACAGGAGGGCGTATGCCCCTCCCCACCCATCCTAAAAAAATATATACAATTACTGTTTTCAGAATTTGAATAATAAATTTAAAAATGAAATTATGAAATTGGAAATAAATTAAAAAATAAATTCATATCAGACAACCATCAAATATGGAAGATGAATGTAAAACTCATAGTAGATATATTGATGATGTTTTAAAGGAGAAAGAGGCATTCTAATGCCCCTTCCCCCTCTAAATTAATATTATTATTTAATTGGTTATATATTACTAAAAAAATTATACAACTACTATTGTGGGGCTATAATTAAGTCAATTGGCTTTAAAAAACATGTCATCTTTATAACCAAGTATAGCAAATATCTATATTATTGTCTTTCATGTGATTCTCACATTAACAGAACCATACAGTATGGTTAACGAGCTAACCATTTTCTTCGGTTAATAAACAAATTTCCTGTTTCAAAATAAATATTATTTATGCAAGTCACAACACTTGCAACATATTTTTGACAAGTCACAACACTTGCAGTGTTATTAAATTAATTAAATTGTAACTCACTGGAAACAACATCAGCAGCAAGCTGGATCTTTTTCATGCAATAGTCAACAGCTCCAATATCAGTTTCATCATCTTTCCAGTAAGAAATGGTGTAAATAAAGTTATTTTTTCTTTTATTAACTTTTTCTACTCTTTCGCTATATAAAACACTTTTGCATGTTTTTGGATAATACCATTCATGTTCTAGTTTCTTCCAAACAAATCTATCTGACATCTTCTAAATCAAATAGTTGGTCATCAAGCGCTTGCATGAATTAATAATTTCGTTAAAATTCAATTTGGATAGCTCGCGCTCTAACTTTCTTTTTTCTTTTTTATCCATTTTTTGGCGCTTGATTTTTTGTCTTTGGCAAATCTCATCTCTCACTTTGCATCGATGTAGTTGATTTGTAAATCTGTTTTTATGTGCTACATTAATTGACCATTTAACAATCTTTTTTCTTAAACTTAAATCTTTTAAAAAAAATTTTTAAATCAAAACATTTATTCAACAAGGAATACTAACACAGCATAAAAATACTTTAAATGATATAGTAACTAAAACAATTCAAACTTAACTTACTGATTGTTTGTTCTAAATTGTCTACAGAAAAAAAAGAGTGACTTGAAAAAATGTAAGTATTAAGTATACAAAAATACAACTAACAAGAAATAATATTGTTAGACAACAATCTACACAGGCATAATAAAGAACTGTATTAGAAAACTAATATATATATATATATATATATATATATATATATATATATATATATATATATATATATATACATATATATATATATATATATATATATATATATATATATATATATATATATATATATATATATATATATATATATATATATATATATAGAACATATATTATAATAGCATCTATTTAATAACTACTAAGCTATTGAATACAGAAAGTAACTAACTGATGTTGTCGGCTGCACTACAACTTTGGGCATCTAAAACAGTGAAAGAAATATTTAAGTTATACATAAAGATTTAGATAGCGGCCAGATAATTTAAAAACAGTTTAATAAATTTATATTGAAACAACTTATCCATAAAGATATTTCTTATTAAATAAAAACAATGTTCAATCTTCAAATTAGATATGATTCATCAATAATTTAATTCACATCTAATTCTTATTATAAATAGATGAAACCTTTTATTTTCTTCCTCCATTTTATTTCTAAATCAAATATAAAATCCAAGTCTTATTTTAATATTTACTAAAAATCATTTTATTAAAGTAATTTCTTTTAAATGTACAAATTTTTTAACTATATTTTTATTATAAAATGTCTAGGTTTACAATATCAATTTATGACATAAGTCAAATATTGCTAATATGAATACTATATATGTAAAATAAATATAAATAAAAACAATCAATAGACCCCTCTGTCTCCCGCGCCAACATCAGGTAAAATGTAAATTAGGTAACAAAAGTGCAGCAAGAAATAAAGTGACTGCTACAAAATATTTTTCAACGAAAATTGGCAGGTGCATAGATGAATAAATTTAATAAAAAAAATGGATAGAAAAAAAAAAAGACTATATCCTGGACATTAAATTCACCACAGAAGTACAACCAAAATTTTGACATCAATAAACTCGTTAATAAATTAAGTGATATAATTAAAAACCAATCGAACTAATGCTTCAACTATTCTTCTTTCTAAAAATAAATGTTGATAACGAATACTAAAAAGTTATTCCACAAGGCCTTCCTCAAGTACTCTAACTTTTAAGAGACTACGAAAAACGTGGAACAGAATTTTAGCAAAAAATTCGGTTCTGTAAAACGCGATCAAATTAAATGAAACAACACAGTAACAAGGTGTCAACATAAGTAACAATCCTAATAATTATTTATACAACCCATGATGGAAAAATCATAAAATGGAATGAAACAACACAGGAACAACAAAATATATACAATTTATTTATTCATTTACCTATTTCTACAGCCAAGATATTACAAATCTTTGCATATATATATATATATTTATATATATATATATATATATATATATATATATATATATATATATATATTTATATATATATATATATATATATATATATATATATATATATATATATATATATATATATATATATATATATATATATATATATATATATATATATTAATATGTATATATTAATTTATATATAACACAGACACACAAAATATCAATACTATTCTATAAAACACAAAGTGAAAAGTCTTGGTGCAATTTTGATGTCTTTTGTTAAAATTCCCTCATTATACTTGTAACTTAGTTACTCTTTTATTTAAATATTGTATCGATTATAGTTTATAGATCATAGAGTATAGAATATAGAAAATTAAAAAATATCTTTAAACGATAAATAACTAAACAAAATAATAGTCTTAAAATAATCAACCAAACAAGTAGACATATTTAAATTATTAATTTTTCTACTTATTTTTAAGGTAATTAGGACGTCTTTTGTAGGTCTTAGCGACGTCAATAGGACGTCTAAATATTGAAGTCCTGATATCGTCTTTATATTACCGACTTTACGCCTACTGCAACGAGAACGTAGAAACTATGATTTTACAAGTCGTCGTTGTCATAGCCGTTTTAATTAAAATATCGTTACGAAAATTACTATGAAAACGTCACTTTATGTAATTTTGTATAGTTCTGTATATTTTTCTGTATGATTTTTTTTTGTACAAAAATCCTTAATGTTTTGAAGTAAAAATCTCATTCGGTGCAACGATACAACAAAGAAATGAAGTTGAAAACCTTTATTTTTTAAATAAATATGATAAAATTATCCCAGGTTCGTAACCAGTTACTTATTTTTAATTCTGATAACACAATAAACGATGAAGAGCTGTTACTACTTTACGACGTTAATAAATCAAATAACTTAAATTTGTCCTACCAAAGTTATCCAAGATTTAATTTAGACAACATGTCAGTGGATGAAGCAAAAAGCGAATTTCGTTTTTTATCAACAGATATTTACGAAATGATTGATCTTCTTAACATTCCCGAGAAGATAACGTGTTATAATGGCATCACCATTTCAGCTGACGAAGCCTTTTGTATTTTTTTAAAACGTTTTGCTTACCCCTGCAGGTATCAAGGTATGATTCCACGATTTTCAAGACCAGTACCACAATTATTTATGATTTCAAACCATATTATGAATTTATTGTTTGCACAATGGGGCCATTTGCTTACCAACTTAAATCAGGGATGGTTAGATACTCAGCATCTAGAAATGTTTGCCTCTGCTATTCATGCTAAAGGAGCTCCTCTTACAAACTGCTGGGGGTTTATTGATGAATTTAAGACCAATAAGTTGTCCTAGAGAGCACCAAAGAATACTTTACAATGGACATAAAAGGTGTCACGGAATAAAGTTCCAATCACTAGTTGCACCCAATGGCTTAATTGCCAATCTATATGGTCCTGTGGAAGGAAAAAGACATGATAGCGGTATGCTTGCCGATTCAAATTTACTAAATAAATTAGCAGTTTGTTCTTTCAATAGCAATAGAGAACCTTTGTGTGTTTATGGAGACCCTGCATACCCCCATAGAGTTAATTTACAATATGGGTTTAAAGGAGCTAACATATCCCCTGAGCAGCTTATTTGGAACAAAAATATGAGTAAAGTTCGTGTTGCTGTTGAGTGGGTATTTGGAGATATTGTTAACTATTTTAAATTTTTAGACTTTAAAAAGAATCTTAAAGTGGGACTTAGTCCAGTTTCTAAAATGTATTTGGTTTGTGCATTAATGCACAATGCACGTGTTTGCCTATATGGTTCAACAACAACAACATATTTTGATTGCCAACCACCATCGCTTTCAAACTACTTTAAATAATTTTTTCATGAAATATAAAAAAGTGTACACAAATAACTTTATTTTTTTTCTGGTAAAAATTTGCTTAAAATTTCTAAAAAAGATGCTTGCTGTTGCATCATAGCCTGCATCATATTATTTTGTTGCTGCATCAAGGTATTTTGCTGCTGCAGAATGTGCTGCATTGTGTTTGCTTGTGCTTCAACTTCTCTTTTTTTAATTTCCAGTTCTTCTTTTCTAATATTTACTTCTATTTCATTCTTCTCTTTTAAATAAGCAATAGTTTCATTGCTATTATTTCTTGACTTTTTTAAGAGTTCTTGTCCTTTGTTTCGCTTTTTCAGTTTCATTATGTGTCTCTAATGACCTTTTACGCATTTCTATTGCTTGAACATTATCCACATCAATCTTTCCATTATTATGCTCTAATTGCTCTTTAAAAATACTTTCAGATTGCTGAAATCTCTTATAGACATCAGCAATAGCCACATCATAATCTGTCAAGTCACATGTAATTCCACTTGCATTTTTTTCTTTTGTATCTTTTTTTTTAAACTTTTCAATCAAAAGGTTAATGTGATCACGAGTTGATCTACCAGTAACTTTAAAATAAGGTTCTGGTAATCCATTAAGAGAGTTGGATATTTTTTCCCATGAATCTCCTCTTTCTTTTGAACCACGTTTAAACTGCCATGGTTCGAAGGTCAAAACCTCCATTAATAATGTGTAATCATGCAGCTGAGTCCATCGCATTGAACTAAAAAATAAAACATTTTATAGTTAAATTGTTATTTTAATAAACATATCAATTAAATTATTAAAAATCATTACTTATACAATATAAATCACAGATTTGTATGACAGTCAGATTTTACATATAGTTATATTACCTTGCTGAAGATGTTGTAATTGATCCACATGAAGATTCCATAACAAAGATAAACTGCGCTATAAGAGCATTAGAGCACACACACATATGTAAAGTTAGTAATTCAGATTTAAAATAAAAATAATTAGCCGACTTAACTATATAAATTTATAAAACACAAAAACTTTGTGACGTTATCATAACTATTTCACGTTTTCACTGCAACGCTTAAACTTAAATTTTTACGTCCGGCCTAGAACTTTAAAACGCGACTAGGGTATTACCCTGAGCTCACGCATGCGCATTATCAACATTTTGTCCTCAGAAGTTGCGGTTGCAGATTTCATAAAATCGGTATTAACGTCACAAGGACGTCCTAACAAAGACGTCTTTACCAGACGTCTGTAGGACGTCCTAATTTGGTCTGAGACGTCGCGGCCTAGTTAAGACGTCTGTAAGACGTTTGATTGACGTCTGTGCCCGCTGGGTTGTAATATTGTAATAATAAGTGTTTAATTACTAATATTATAATTAATATTAATATAATCTTTTATTAAACCTAAAATTTATTTATCATACCGAAGCCAAAGACTCTACCTTTCATGTCAACGAATTCAAAAAAATGTTGCTCAACTATGTGTACCTTCAAAGAAATCGTAGATCCAAGATTTCTATAGCTTGTAGAGAACTGCTTTATATCTTTGACATAAGTAGAGCTCAATGATTTTCTAAGACAGCTATGGACTATTCAAAACCTCTAATTTCTTTAATGTATTTGGTAGCGGGATCTCCATGACTGGACTCTTGAAAAAACAGGTCAACGTTGTCAATGTTTTTAAGCGATACTGCCCTTGGTAGAATACTCTGTAGATGTTTACCGTAGACAGATATTGTTTGACAATCTATAACTCACACTCCTTGTTTTCAAACAAGGAGTGTGAGTTATAGATTGTCAAATTTTTTCAATCACTTTTAAGATATTTTCTACACCACACTACATGTAGACTAGGAATCATTTTTTTTCAAGTTAATAAAAGGAATTGAACAACATTTGTGAACATTTTTGCATTTTTTAATTTTGCACCATCAGATATCCATTGGTTGAATAATCTGCACAAAGTTTCTAAAGAATAACAATCAGTATTTTGAAAGTTAGGAGATTGGTTAGGAAAGTTAGGTCATGCAAAACGGACAAAGGTTCTTTGACGTTGCAGTTTGTTTTCCAGCTATTTGAAGCAAAGCCTTTAGATTTTCAAATACTGTGTAACCTAAGGAAGAAAAGTTCAATTTATCCAAAAAACATTTTTCCACCATTGCTAAAAGTTCTTCAATGCCATTGTAAAAGTTAGGAGATTGGTTAGGAAAGTTAGGTCATGCAAAACGGACCATTGCTAAAAGCTCTTCAATTTCTAAAAATCATTGCTCAATGCCATTGTAATAGATTATAGGAGTATCTTTTTATACCAACTATACATGCATAAAAATCAAAATAAATGACACAGATTGTATTCTAGTTATCTAAAGAAATTGTAGATAATAAATTACTTACCTCTTTGTTTTCATTTACTCCTAATAACAATGGCAATTTATCACCATCAAATAATTTTTAAATCAACTTGTTGTTCTCAGTCAGTTTAATATGGAAACCAGATTACATACTTTTCCATCCTTCTTTACTCTTCAAAAAATGTACAACTTCAATCATATTGCGATTACTTATTAGTCATAACAAAATTATTTAAAAAATTGGCTATAAACTCATAAGTAAATTGTATAAAAAAATTTAAGCGTCAAAACCTTACCTGGTATGTAGTTTTAGTTGAAGTTTGTTCAATTTATTCGAAGAAAAGAAAGGTTTTTTAACCTCAGTCTTTCCAACAAAGACAACAAGTTACTTTGAACCAAATGGAATTCATTGTGACACTTGAACATAGTAATCTGGATAAGTAAGTCTTTTTGCAGATTTATTTGAAACCTCTTTGGGGCCTTCATAAACAGGTTTTCCTGAAACATATTTAACCATAGGAGCCAATATTCTTTCCATTTTTGGTTTTAACTAAAGTACATCATTATTTATAGGTCTTAAATCCTTGCTTTTTCTGAAACAGCAAATGTTGAGTTCAAAATTTATGTAAGTCATCCTCATTTAATACCAGTATGAACATACTAGAAATTTGAGTATTCCACATGACTCTTAGCTACCTATTTTGAAAATCAAAATTACTGGGCACTCGCCTAAAATACGTGATTTCTTCTCAGGCCCCTGGTGAAAAAAGTTTTTTATTTATTTTTGAAATAAGTAAAAGTCTTCTGATAATAAATAAAACAATTTTTGGGGATGTGTTGCAAGATCTTAAGACATTTTCCTATGCACCGTAGTTAAATCGTGGTTAAATAAATACAAAGAATGAAAAATTGAAAAAAAAATAATAATAATAATAATAAAAAAAAAAAAAATTAAAAAAAAAATTAAAAAAAAACGTTCAATAGCGGTTTCTCTGTGACAAGACCTGATGGTCTTCTTTAAGTATCCGCGTTCTTTATAATTATTTTTATTCTTTATTACTTAACGATATCTTGACTTGTTACCTTTTCTTTTTTCTTTTTTATATTATTTGTATCTGTATCATAAATATTGTAATAAAGAGCATTAAAAAAAAAAAAATCTAACGTTTCTGATTACCTAAAAACGTGTCCGCTGCGTTAAGATTTAAAAAAGTTTTCGAAGCATAATTTACATTCGTTACTATGTGATACAGAATTCCACAAATAAAAAACAAACTTTTGTTTTTCTTTTTCGAACATTTTAAAGAAATTTCAGTTAAAGTTTTAACTATATCTAACAATCGTATCTTTATATCCTAAAAAAAAATTAATTCCTTTGGTCCATCTTAATATTTCCTCAAGAATTCTTTCTACTGTAAAACCCAACAATTGTTGGGTTTTACTAATACTAAAAAATTGACAAATGTGAATAATATGAGTGAGATTCGTAAATCTTCGCTGAGCTCCTTGAGCTCCGTCCCCGGCCATGCCTTGCGGGGTTGTGCTCCCTCTAGTTACGCCGCTGCCGTCAAATATTCATTCTCGAAAGTTTTTTAAAAATATGTTTTACTAATTTATTTGAAAACATAATTTGAAAATATATTAAACCAACATATAAATGACTTTTTTTTATAGAACTTCTTGTACATTTCTACTCAATTTATCATAACCTACCTAACCTATGGTGTGTTCGAGAGACTCTTGACTTAAGCATGAAAGAAACTTCTTTTAACAAAATGTTTTTTATTTTTAAAACAAAAAAACTATTTTCTAAATAACAACAACTAACTTAATAACAACTCTACATAACAACAAAAAACTTCTACAAGTGAAACAAAGGGAAAGCAAAGAAAAATTGTTTGGTTTATTTTATTTTTTATAAAGTATTACTGAAATTTAATATAAATAATTTGCTATAGATGAACTAAAGTTATATATCGAAGACTGATTGCAATAACTGTCTAAGTGTAATTTTGGCTAAAATAAGTCATATGAATTCATTACATCTCAAAGACTTTTCAATTTTTATTTGTAATCTTTATTTGCAAAAACATTTTAATTTAATGACATTAGTTATTATAGACATCAAGTGACAGTCGTAGCAGATAAAGATAACGTCACTGGGATGTTTGTGCATAAATCATTTTAGCCAAAAATGCTCTAGGAAAGTTGTTGCAGTAAAGAAGTCTAGGTACTAGTAATTAGTATAATAAAAATGTTAAAGTAAAAAATAAAAATTTTTAAAAATAATTTTTTAAATAGTTGTTTTTTTTACATGTGAGCCTAACAAAGCTGATTGAAAAGTTATATGCAATGTTTCATATGAGACTATGGTTGTTTTTTTTTGCATGTGAGCCTAACAAAGCTGATTTATGGCAATCCAGATAGGTAAATTACAAAAATGTGAATTTTTTTAGGTTCATATTAGTATTAAATAAAAGATATTTCTCAAAAATCAGGATGATTGAAGGCTGGAAACAAAGAAAACAATGAAGTCTCAACCATAAAATTGTTCTTTTACTTGGTTCTGAGGAACAAGAAATTTAAATTAAAAAAAGACTCCAAACCTTTCTTAATTAATCACTTTTATCAAAAAATTTAAAATTTCGCTTAAAATTTTTTAGGCGTTTAAAAGCTATAGCTCTACTATATACAATCTAAAGTTGTTCCTGTAGAATTTCAACTCTTTCAACCTGATGAGGCTGTAAACTTTACAATTTCTTAAAATCAACTAGTCATTGAATGAAATTTTAAAATTGTCAATAAATATAAATTTAGTCTATGATAAAAAAAAATATTATTAAAAAAGTAGTAATAATGAAAAATTTCCTACAAAAGATTTGTCATTAGAAGATTTTCATTGGAAGATTTTCAAGACATAACACACTGCTATAAAATTTATTTCAAAACTAAAGTTTCAAAGAACCTTTTTTTGTTTGTTTTATCGACCTGAAAGTTAGACTTTATTTGTTACTTTTAATGCACTGCTAGATATATGTTAGGGATATAAAATGTATGAACAAGTTATTGTCTGAATGTGTTTGATATTTCTACTAAAAGTATGGTGTGATAATTTATTATTATTATTTTTTAATTAACAACAGTTGGATATAAATTTTTATATTTTTTATTAAAAAGCTTGACATTTTGTGAGTAATTTTAACTTAGGGAAATATATCAAATATACCAACATATTTATAATTTACTCAGGTGTATGTACAAATAATAAAATTTAGTACAATCATATATAAACCTTCAAAAGGCAATTATATATTAGCTATTATACACTCTGTAGAATATTTACAAATGATGCTTACTTACATTTTATAATAAAAGGTGATTTGTACATTAGCTTTACGTAAAACTTTTCTTTAGATAAAAATCAAGCAAATTATTCATTTTATTGTGACATGTTTAGTAGAAATTGGTTGCTATATATTCTTTTAAATCTAGAGAAAAAAATGTATTGTTCTGGTAAAGCAAGGTAAATTTAAATTTTCAAATATCGTCAACAGCTTTATTTTCATTTTTTAAATCACCAATACTTAGTGTTAATTGAGTCAGAGTTTCCTCATTAGTTGTTAAAATGATGCCATTCAACTCTGAAAATCTTTTTAAAGCTTCTAGTTTATGCAAAGCATCGTCCCTTTCTTTTTTGAGAAGTTCATTTTCTCGTGCATAATGTTCAAGCTGCTCTTCTAATGTCATTTTTTCATTTTCTAGCAGACTTTTTTGTGTTGTTCTTTTCATTCTACTTGTTTGTGCATAGCCTCTATTTTTTATAGTTCTTCTTTTTTGTTTTAATTTTAAAACCTCATTATCAGGAAGGCCTCTTAGTAAAGAATTTAAGTCTTTTACTGGTATTTCTGCAAGCTGTTCTTCAGTCAAAACAATTTGCTGACTTAACGGTTCTTTTAACTCAGTAATAACAAAGTTTGCAGTCTGGTTATTAGAAAATGAAGAGTTTTCATTTATAGCTGAATAATCTCTTTCTAAATCTTCAGCAGGAGAGTATGCTTTAGGGCTATCTAACTTTTCCTCGTCCTCAATTGTTTGAATAATTTCTCTATCAGACACATTATCAAGTTTAGAAATATAATCAATAGATTTTACTTGTTTTGAAAGAGGTGAGAATGCTTCTGAGTGCAGTATATCTTGATTTGCTGTTTCAAAAGGCCTTTTTGCTATTTTTTTAAAATTAGTCTTTGATCTATCAAAACAATCGTTTAATTCTGCTTGAAAACTGGCAGCGATAATAATTTCATTAATGAGTGTTTGCGCTTTTGATACTTTTCCTTGTTTATCGTTCTTATTTGAACTCATTGATAGACGTAGAAATAAATAAAAACAAGCATGGGTTTGTTTACCAAATATATCCTGACTCAGCTTCCTTGTGCCAACTCAGCATTCAAATAAAGCATTATTATTAACTTCGAGATCGCGAAATAGAGGTAAAAAACATTCTGGGTGGAGAGTTACGCTTTGAATTCACCGAATAGAGAGCGAATAATCCGATGTCACAAAAAACCGAAACATATAAATGAATAAATATATTTAAAAACAACATTTTTGATAAGGACAAAAAAATAAAAAAAATAAACTATTTTTTGAGACACATGTATACTTATAAATATTAGATGCGCAATTAAAACGTGCAATAGAAATCGATTGTTAGAAATATAATTATCGTAAAAAAAAAGTAATAAAGTAATAGAGCTATAATAGTTTAGCTAGAAAATTTTCAGTCATTCGCTTTAATAAATATTCCAAATTGTGTAAGTATAAAATATCCATGGTAACCATGAAAAATTTATATATTGACTATTATATACATTATGTGTTGCGCAATTTCCGCGGATCCATAGTGAGCCAGAAACCCATTTTACTGGACAAAACTAATAACTCGTCATATAAAAAAGATTTAAGAACAGTTTACTAATTATACTAATTTGAAGATTGCGATTTTAATGGTGAAAATTTTTTTAACTTTAGGTTGCTATGGATACCTAATTGTTTATGGATACCTAATAATTTATAATTATAGTGTTTAGTATAGTAATTATAATGTATAAAATTATAATAATTATAATTATAACTTTGAAAATTTAAAGATTTAATTGGACGAAATAAAACATGATTTTAGCATTATTTGTCTAACACAAACGTGGTGTAAATGCGATAAACAAAGTACACAGTTTGATTTAATTAATTACACGTCAATTCATCAACCACGCGATAGTTATGGTGGCGGAGGCGTTAGTATTTTTGTCCGCAATTCAATTGATTTTTTCCCTCGTAATGACCTATGCGTTAATGAAACAGATTGTGGGTCAATTTGCATTGAGTTTTATAATAAAACCACAAAAAATATAATTGTTAATGCTATTTATAGAAAGCCATCTGGTAACTTAACAAAATTTAAGACTCACTTAAACACAATTTTAACTAAAGTCAATAAAGAACGGAAGCATATTTACGATATCGGCGATATCAATTTGAACTTGTTAAAACAAGCTTCAATTTGAACTTGTTAAAACAAGCTTCAATTTGAACTTGTTAAAACTTAGCTTATTATATTGTTTATCCAATATACATAAAATATAAAACGGATATATTATAAAACTTTAATATTTACCGTTATTGCACCTCCTAACATCGATGCAATCCTGTCCGCTTTCTCTATGCTGTCTTTCTAACACGCCTACTTCTGTCTTTAACTCTAACATATCTTCGTTCTACCTAAACTCACTTTACTCTTGGTCCGAAAAGCGGGTTATGACGCTCCTTGGGGAGCCAAACCTGTCTTTGCTGGCCTTGGTAATGTGGCCTCTATATGGCAATTAGCCGGAGGAGGATAAACCACAATACCAAACAAGCTTCAAATAAAATTAAGCATTTTATCAATAAACTTCTTCAACATAATGTTATTCCAACAATAAATAAACCAATCAGAATAACTAAGAAATCTTCTACTTTACTTGATAATATAATCACTAACAATTTTTATAACAACTATATTTTCACATATATAATCAAAATAGACTTATCAGATCATTTTCCTACTTTTTTAATAACTAATAATATAACAATTAATAATATTTCTTCTAAATTTATAATATACAGGCGGCAGATCAATAAATACTCCTTACAAAAATTTCAACATTTTATTAAAATATAACGTCGATTGGGATCTAATAATGCAATCGGTAGAGGTAAATAATGCCTATGAACTATTTCTTAAATTTTTTTGTGAGCAATATGAAAAAGCTTTTCCGGAGAAAAAAATTGTTATAAAATACCAAGTCATATCAAGCTCCATGGATGTCTAAAGGCTTATTAAAATCTTCGAAGAAAAAAAAAAGTTGTATGAAAAATTCTTAAAAAAAAAACGCATGAAAATGAAACAAACTACAAACTTTATAAAAATATATTTGAAAAAACTAAACAACAATCAAAAAAAATTTACTATTCAAAGTTGTTTAAAAAAACTAACGGAAATGCCAAAAGTACGTGGAGCGTAATTAAGGAAATTATTGGCAGAAAAAATAATGGAATACGTATTCAACCAAAGAAACTCTTAGTAGATGGTAAAATAATATATGACAAGTCAATAGTAGCTGAAAATCTAAACAGCTTCTTTCTTAATATTGGTCCAAACTTAGCTTAAAAAGTTCCTTTAAGTTCATCATCGTTTGATTCTTATTTAAAAACATACGATAAGGTCATGGACGAATCTAAACTAGATATTAATGAGTTACGATATGCTCTAGATAATCTTAAAAGCAACACAAGTGTAGGTTTTGATAATATTAGCATAAATGTTGTTAAATCAGTTTTTCATATTATAGAAACCCCTTTATATCACATTTTTAATCTTTCTCTTCAATCTGGAACAGTTCCAGAAAAATTAAAAATTGCACGGGTCTTGCCTATTTTTAAGTCTGGCGATGACACAGATTCTTCAAATTATAGACCAATATCAGTTTTACCATGCTTTTCTAAGTTACTCGAGCGTATAATGTATAATAGGCTAAATAGCTACTTAACAGTAAATAACATGTTGTACAACAAGCAATTTGGCTTTAAAAAAATCATTCAACTGATCACGCTTTGACCGAGTTAGAAACTCATGTAACCAAGGCCTTTAATGATGACCGTTTTACATTTAGTATTTATTGATCTGTCTAAAGCCTTTGACACAGTCAACCATGTCATTCTTTTAAAAAAACTTGAACATTATGGAATAAAAAACAATAATTTACTATGGTTTAAAGATTACTAATCAAACAGACAGCAATACATTCAATATGAAAATGTTAAAACGACAAAAAGTATAATAAAATGTGGAGTTCCTGAAGGCTCAATCTTAGGACCGTTACTGTTTTCTCTTTATATAAATAATCTATCTCTTACCTCAAACATACTAAACTTTATTTTGCTTGCGGATGACTCCAATCTGTTTTATTCTCATAGGGATATTAAAACCTCTTTAAAGTAGTAAATGAAGAAGTTAACAAAGTAAATGAATGGTTTATTTGTAATAAACTTTCACTTAACGTTAACAAAACTAAATTTATTCCATTTTACAAACCAACCAAAACAGGAAACCTTCCTTTAAAATTACCCAATCTTAAAATCAATAATATAAATATTACTAGGCAAACAACTGTAAACTTTTTAGGTATTATTTTAGACGAAAATTTAACATGGAGGAAACATATAAACACTCTTGAAAGAAAACTTTCAATAAACATTGCAATGATGTATAAAGCAAAACCATTTTTGAATATAAGATCTCTAAAAAGTTTATATTTTTCCTTTATACATAGCTATCTAACTTACGGCAATATCGTATGAGCAAGCAACAGCTACGCTAAGTTAAAGAAAATTTATACTAAACAAAAACATGCATGTAGAATTGTATTTGGAGTAAAAAGAACTGTGCCTTGTGAGCCACTTCTACGTAAACTCAATGCATTAAATGTGTTTAAAATTACCATATTCCTCGTCATACAGTTCATGTATCAAATAAAACAAGGACTGTCTCCAGCGATATTCTTTCCTTATTTTAGAAAAGTAAGCCATAAATTTCAATGTCTTTATCATACTTTCATTGAAAATATATATTCTCTTAAAGTTACCTACAATTTTCTTAACATATTTTATAATATTGCAACAGAATTTTTATTTGAATTTTGAATTATTTTGAAAGAAAATAATATATACAAATATATACATCGAATCACATCCAATTTATAACCAAAAATAGAAAATTTTTGTCATTTTTATTACTATATTTTAATCATTTCTTTTTTTTTTTTTTTTTTTTTTTCAATTATTTAAATACTCTTTTATTTTTTTTTATTTTTAATTTTGTTTCTTAACACTTTAAAATTGTCTTTTTTTAAATGCTTTTGCTTATATACTACGGATTATTATATATTACGGATATTTATCTGCGTTACTATTGGGGCTCGGTGATAAGGCTATTTTATGCCTTCTTCTTGCTCGAGCCAATTGTACTTTTTATATTGTTGTACTTTGTGAATATTTTTAACGGCGAAATAAACTAATAAACCCAGATACGCTGACCGTCAGGTCAAGTTATTCTGCTACTGGTAACATGTAATTTAGTACAACTTGCTGCATGTTAACGTCAGGAAGGGCGTACGGTTGTAAAAGATTGCTTTAACTCTTTCATAACAGAATTTATATGTCGCTATGGAGAACAATCCAAACCACACAAGTGTGGAAACATGAGTGTAAAAACTGCAACAAAAAAACAAAACACATTGGACAAAATAATAATCCCCACATGGGTTACATTTGGAAAAAGCCTACGCGTATCCCATGTGGGAATTACCATATGGAACCCATGTGGAGTTTACCATATGGAACCCACATGGGACAAAATAATAATCCCCACATGGGTTACATATGGAAAAAACCCACGCGTATCCCATGTGTGCTTTTTCACTGGGGTAAAGTATATCAAAGGACACAATGGTTATAACTGATGTGAATGTTGTAGAAAGGAGAGTGGTGTGGCAAGATAATTCTCCTAGATATTTCACTAATTTTAAGCACTGATTCAGATTTTTGTCATCAAAAGCATTCTGAAAATCTTAGTGGTGTGTTAAGTTGAATTAAATTTTGACATGGTGACAAAGTTTCCTTTAGACTTAATGCATCTTGTATGATTAGGGGTATTGCTAAGATTTGTCAACTTTTGGTTAAATTGCCCAAATGTTGTGAATTGTCTCAGATTACAGTCAATACTTTATCTGGCGGATTGTTCCACATACGTCATTACATTATATATATATATATATATATATATATATATATATATATATATATATATATATATATATATATATATATATATATATATATATATATATATATATATATATATAAGC